ATTCATAGATATTTCATTGTAGCTGGTCAGAAAGTCCAAAGAACTCTCCAGTAGACCAGAGCAAAGCAGTGAAGTGAGAGGGCAAAAGGGAGTACAATCAGAAGTGCAGTGAGACTGTGTCTCACCAGTGTCAAAACGGGGTGGGGGAAGGATGATAAGGAAGAACTCAAATGCACAAGAGTGGATCACCTCATGCTGATCAAAGATGGGACCAGACCTTTATGTCAGTTTGGAACCAAGCCCAAATAGGGACATCAGAACTTCTTTATTCTTCATTAATGTTCAGAATTTTTCAGGGAAACATGTAACAGGCATTTCTACAATATACTTATTGTCACAGATGTAATATAAAATGAACTCAGGTTAGCATCTTTTCAAAACCAAACTGAGTATCTTATACTTTCCCCAGCTCTGATGTGTAACCATGTTCTTCTCCTCCTCTTATTGGGTACAGTGTACAAATATCACACATGAAATGCCAAACTATGGTTTGGCATGATGGAAATGCCTTCTATTTGCTAACTCCAGGTCAACTAGTTGCTTCCTCTTGTGTGCAAATCATTTGCTGATGTATCTGAACTGGCAAAATGTGGTTTGCATACCTCCGCAAACCATGTTGGGACACCAGCTTTGAACCATGGTTTGTATTCCTGACTTACAAGGCAAGAGAGAAACATACTTTGCTAGTTCAGATGTAATGGCAAACTCTGGTTTGTGTTGAAGAAGTAAACAAATGAATGGAGTATGAGGGAGGGGAGTATGGAGACCAAGCAGTTGGTACAATTATTTAGCAACAAGTTGTAGGTTGGCTTGACTCACTCATCCTTTCTGGATTTATAGCCTCAGCTTTCTGAAAATAAAACCACTTTTTTTTTAAGCAGTCATTTTTAAAATCTGATGTGTATAAGCAGTCTTGGTTTTTTCCATTTACTCGTAACATCCTAGTATGTTTTTTTCATTATTTTTGACAGTGTGCTTTAATAGCTGCTCTGTCTTGAACATTTATATTACTGTTATTTTTAAGGCAAATAACTTTGGGAGAGGACAATCACAGTGCTTGTAATGAGAGCTACACTGGATGTGGTTTCACCCAAAGGCGATGGGTGGGTAGGGAATTAGTTAATTAAAGTGAACTGTATGCTGTCACTGGTGTAATTAAATGACTTGCAAAGCTCTTTTGAGGTCCAGGGTTACCAGGAAAGATGGTAGGACAGCTTAATTTATTGGCAGCAGGGTCTCTCCCAAGTCACAATGCAGCTCTAGAGCTCAGAGGTCAACAGTTGACATGATTTTTTTCACTGAGTCAGCTGCAGGAAAATTCTGAGAGCAGAGATGCCCTTTGTACATCACTTTCATACACCTGATGAAGGCATTTGATCTCACCAGCCAAAAGGATTCTTCACACTGCTCAATGAGATAGGATGCCCACCTAAGCTGCACAAGATGATCATGTCCTTCCACAAGAACTTGTGTGGCACCGTCTAGTATGGTGGCTCATCCTTGGATGCCTTACCTATAAAGAGTGGTGTGAAACAGGGCTATGTTCTTGCCCCAGCTCTCTTTGGCATATTCCTCTCAGGGCTCTCAGATGCCTTCAGCTTGACTGAAGACAGTGTGTACATCCGTTCAAGAAGTGCAGGGTTCTGTTCAATCTGGCACATCTCCACGCCAGGATAAAAATGCAGTGGGCACTTATCCAAGAGATGCTGTTTGCACATGTTGCAGTCTTGACAGCGCATTCTGAGGAAGCTCTACAGAATCTTGCAAGCCTGCATAGAGTTTGGCCTTACCATCAGCCTGAGGAAGACCGGCTTCCTGGATGAGGACATCACCAGCACTCCGTGCATCAGCGCTGGTGGCCACATACTTGAAGTGGTAGACCCTGGGCTCCACCGTAACCAGCAACCATTCCATCAATGCTAAGTTGGACAAGCGTATTGGCAAGGCAGCTATGGCAACATCTTGTGTCTCCAAAAGGATATGGAAGAATGTAATGCTAATGACCAATACCAAGATGAAGGTGTACCAGGCTTGCGTGTTGACCACACTGCTTTATGGTAGTGAGACGTGGGCGGCTTACACCAGCCAGGAGCAACACCTCAACGCCTTCCATGTGCCCTGTGTCAGGAAGATTTTGGGCATCACATGACAGGACAGAGTCTCAAACAAAGACATGCTTTCCCAAGCCCATCTTCCCAGCATGTTCACACTGCTGTCTCAGTGATTGTCTAAGTTGGCTGGGTCGTGTCTACAGAATGGAAGATGGCAGGATCCCCAAGGACATGCTCTATAGGGAGCTGGCTTCAGGCACCAGGCCCATTGGCAGACCAGCTCTGTGTTACAAAGATGTCTGGAAACATGACATGAAGGCTGGCAACATCAGCACTGCAGTATGGGAATCCCTTACAGACAAACGCATCGCCTGGAGACGGGCAGTCAAGACGTGTGACCACAGCAGTGACTAGAGGAGGAATGACCGCTGGGAAGAGCTCAGAGAGAAGAAATGTCATGGTGCACCTGCATCAGCACAACCAGATGCCTTCATCGTCCCCAGCTGCAACAAAACATGCCTCTCCCGTATCAGTCTCTACAGCTGCAGCCGGAGCTGTAACTCTCCAATGGTTTGACTTTACACCTGAAGTCACACTCTGTCACTGTCTCCCAAGATAGACAGATGCCAACCAGTCTTGGTAAGCATCCGTGAAATAGTGAGCTGGAAAGAGTTGGCCGAACACTATTATTTATCATTGTAATAGAAGTTGTGCTGCATCTCAGGGGGTTTAAACATTTCGAAAAATAGTAATAACCAGGATATGATCATCATCATAATCTAGGGCACTGTTTCGATCTGTTTGTTTTTGTTACATCTCTTTACCTTTCAAACTGTTGCTTTGGCCCCAGTGATTTCACTTACTTAGAATTTTTCCTAATTAAATTCAGTTACTTATCTCTGGCCAAATTCAGGCTGGCAATGGTTACTGGCCATGATGGCGATGCTCTGCTTCCACACTTGGAAGCAGGAATGTTTCTTTATACCAGCTGCTGGAAACCACAGGATGGGAAAGGGCTCTTGTGCTTGGGTCCTGCTCACGGGTTTCTCAGAGGCCAGATGAACAGGGTGCTAGAACAGATCAGCCGCCGGCCTGATCCAGCAGGCTCTTCTTATGTTTTTATTCTGAAACATTGTTACTGGATGGGTCTCTGAAGAAAAATTAACAAAACACCCGGATTAAAGTGATTTGTAAGCAGCAGAAGAGATGGAGGAGGGCAACAAAGGTGAAAGCAGCCGGAATCTGGACAACTGATTTTGTTGTCACAGGTTTAATCTGTGTCAGCATATTTGCCCTCTTGCCTTAAACTGCGGAAGGGCTTCTGCATATGGAACATTTGTATTATCCAAATCAGATAAAGCTTCCCAGCAGGTTGGTAAATAGATAAATCATTCTCCTCCCTTAAGCATAATATTCCCAGCCTTCCCCTATTGCTCACAAAGGGCCGTAAAAAATGAACCAGCAGATTTACAAATGATTAGCTGGGACACAATAAATGGATGGTCTCACTTTATTACAGTGATTTGGTGCTGCATTTCCTTGCCGTTTAATCAGAATGTCACATGTCTGATACCCTGTTAGAAAAATTGCGTTTCCCACTCGCATTAGCTGCCAAAGTGATAAATGGCGGTGCACACTTGGAATTATTCTCCCTTGCGAGCTACTCATGATAGCTTACCTTTATTGGTAGTGATGTCTTTTCCTTCCAGCCAGGGTGTCCTGTTGTTGAATAGGCTCTCATAATTTGGGGCCACATACAGCTTTATTGCTAAAGATGGAATGAGTGCATTTTGGGTGCTGCTTGTCTTGGGTCATGGGGAATGAGAGGCTTCTCAACCTGTGCTGTCATATGCTGTTCATATGAGATTCTAGGTTCCTTCCTGAATTCTTAGCTTTCTAACTTTTCTTTTTAATTGCCATTTACTTATGGAGGTATAAGTAAGAAAAAATTGGAGCCTTCTATGATGGTCCCTTCTTTCCGTGGCTTTTGGCAAGTACATATATTCAGATTCATCCGTTAATATGTTTTTAAAATCTGCTACTTGAATCAGGGCTGAATTCTATTTGATCAAAAGTTGATTAATGAACCAATGATTCTGTTGCCTTCCCCCATTTATTTGGTCCCATTTATAGATGTGTGATAACTGTTTAAACATTATTTCTGCAGATGGGCCCAGTTTGCCAAAAAGTGATGTCATGTGATCAAGATGCTTATCCTTAAACATGCTTATGCAATTTTAATATGATTAGGATCTTATAAATTTGCACTAGGAGACATAGTTTACATTGTGGCATAAGTTCCACATTCAAGGCTTTCTATGGCATGTGTTGTGGAGTTTTTCCAAATTTCTTTCCAGTGTCCTTGAAATTTCAGTAGGGCCTAATCTGATTTAGCATGCTTACATGACTTTATAGACTAAACTGAAGTATTTGATGGGGGGGGGGGGAATCACTTAAAGTGGTTTAATTGCTATTTCAACCAAAGCTTTATCTGGAAATTTATTTTTTGGAAATACAGTACTTTAAAACGCTTTAAACTAGGACTTGGGAGCTGTTAGATTGTGGATGAAATTAGGCTTAGCCTGGCTTCCAGTTTGACCCACAAAGTCATTCCCTACTACCACTACCACTTGGCATCAGGTTTGGGGCCATAGAGATGTTTCAGCATGTTACTGATTGCAGTAATTTTTATGCAACAATGCACTTTTAGATATGAAATATTGCATGGAAAAATATTGTGGCAAAGAGAGTGAGTAATTAAACTTCAGTGTCCATGTGTTTGTAGGATTCCAACCTTAATTGTGCAACATCAGCCCCTCCCCCCAATCTATAAGGAATGATTTCAGATGTATTACTTTATTGAGGCACTTAAATAGAATCATAGAATTGTAGAGTTGGAAGGAACCTCATGGATCATCTAGTCCAACCTCCTACAATGCAGGAATCATTTGCCCTGCGTGGGTCTTGAACCTACAATCCTGAGATTAAGAGTCTCATGCTCTCCTACTGACTGGGCTATCCAATGTAGTAGTTAATGTGTGGGTTTCACTTTGGAAATAGAAAATCAGGTATATCAATTGAACCTTCTTTCTTGCCATCTTTGATAAAGTGTATCCTGGATGAATTACTCCAAGTTGCCTTTGCAGTCATATCTTCTGATTCAAGGAGGTGAAAATCCTTAGCATAGTTTTATAAGTCTGTCAGCATTTTAATGAAATCTCTGTAGAATGATCTTCAGAATGAGTCTTCTTTACACAGGGGTTGCCAGGATAAAGTGTGGATCTTGAAACAGCTCCTCAAAGCTGTTTTGGGACAAATATTAGGTCCTGTTGAATAGGATGTCACCTTGTAGGTTAATAACATTTCATAGGAATGCACTGATTGGCAAAAGAAGCAACCCTGCTTGGATGAGGCATGTACTGTAAATCTAAGCCATGCTTTCAATTGCAAATTGCTTACACTTGTTGGGAGAGTTTTTGCTGTACACTCCAGATACAATCTGTGGCCCTGCAAAGCAGATTAAATTTATTCTGTGTGCTCCAGTGGCAGTGAAAAAGGATAACGATTTCTTACAGTCAATTTAAACACATATTGATGTTCCTTGTGAAGTCATTTGAATGAAAATCCTAACATCGCATGCTGGAGCAAAGGCACCTGCACGTGGCCAAGATTGTGAGCAGATTAGGAGACTTATCTCTAAGGTCACACAAGTGTTGCTCTGGGTTCTTGAAAAAGGTATGTGTAATGTCAAATGTGATGTTCCTTCAGTAGGCCCCCTTGGAGCTTTCTGGACTGACCAGTACAACTAGCTAACTCAGCCATCTCAGTAATGGCCATATTGAAGCCACAGACGTTATTTATACCAGCGTGGTTCAGATTTTGCCTGTGGTAATGCACAGTTACAAGGAAGGTTACAGTTTCCTGAACACATAACAAGGAGGCCAGAATTAACCGTTTTTCTAAGTCTGCTACAGATTGGTAACATCCTGCTTTATGGGATGAGATCGAACCCTTTTCTGGCCAGCTCCAGTGTTGGTTCTAAAGCATAGCAGAGAGCCAGTTGGCATTACAGTGGTACCTCAGGTGACATACGCTTCAGGTTACAGACTCTGCTAACCCAGAAATAGTACCTCGGGTTAAGAACTTTGCTTCAGGATGAGAACAGAAATCGTGCTCCGGCGGCACAGCAGCAGCAGGAGGCCACATTAGCTAAAGAGGTACTTCAGGTTAAGAACAGTTTCAGGTTAAGAATGGATCTCCGGAACAAATAAGGTACTTAACCCGAGGTACCACTGTACCACCTCTGGCAAGGAGCTACTACTAGACATGCCTACCACAGAATGCTCAAAATGGAGCATGGTATCCTAAATGCATCATGACATTATGGTGTATGATTGATGAGAACAGGACTCAGGTTGATTTTTCATGGTAGAACCATCAATATCTTAATTGGGGACATCTTACTGCAGACCCGGCTCTATAACCACCATCAGATTTCAAGGATGAGTCCCCTGCAATATTTTTATTTCTCCATCCTCATAAAAGTCAAAGACTGCAAATTCAGGTGATGAGCCTTTAACAACCTAGACGGCTTCTCAGAAGGTGGAACCACCCACTTTCTAGTTCATGTTAGTTCGTTTACATAAGGTTTCAATTGGCTTGAGCTCCTTGCTGAGACAGCATCTTCCTATATCTGTCTTAAGAGGCAAGGACTTAAGCTATCAAGGTCCACTTGGAGTTGCTGAAAGTCCTTTTCTTGTCTGCACTCTGTTTAAGAGAGTTTTGGCTTGGCTTTATCCACCTTTCACTTTCTTGACTTTTGGCTTTGAGTTGACTTTGCTTGCGTTCAGGCTTTACTTGCTTGATCTGACCTTGCCTGCCTTGCCTGACCTTTATCTGCCTTCATTAGATGATATTTGCTTCCTCTGTAAGCCTCAAGCGCCTCTGAAGCAAACAAAGTGAAGCATTATCCATGCAAAGTAGTGCATAATTAGTGATGGAATGAATCATTTCCATAACTAAGCACCTTTACCCTGAATTATGTATATCATAGAATCTTAGAGTTGGAAGGGACCCCAAGGGGCATCTAGTCCACAAGGGTCACCTAGTCTTTAAAAGAGTAACTCAGAGTACTTACTTGCCATAATTAGCTTTGGAAAGTAGTGGGAGCACACTGGGAATGTCTCCCACACAAACTGATGAAATGAATGAGTTGAGGAAGAAACAGGGTTGGTGCTCTTGCAATTCTCTAATTTTATTTCAGTGGAGCAAATACAGGAGACATTGCTTGCGCCTGTGTGCAAGGTCAACAGGAGGGGAAAAGACCATCATATACACAGGTTGTATCTGTTGTTTTGCTTCTGGCAATATTGAACTGTTTATATAGAAAACAGTAGGATTCCATTTTTCTATTCATGCTCTTGAAAAACAACAATGAAGGCCATTGGTTACGGGTTGGAGGTCTCGTTGAACATTTTCTCCCTCCTTTGTGTTGGAGCTTTTCCACTGACAGTGTAATTAACAACCCCCTTAAAGATCTGGCTGATAGATTCATACGTATTAACTGAAGCTATGGAATCTGGTCCTCCAATTGGTTATTCATCATGTCCTTTAGATTACACGATGATCTATTTACTCCTGATGCGTCACATCCTTGACACATTAATAATCCCTTGAATTTCTATTTCTCATCCTAGAGCACTCCATAAATTTAACACACAGGCACACACGGATCACTGTAAGTGCCGGAGAATTTGTTGGTGCTTGCAAGCAGAGCTTCATTGCTATTTAACAGAGTTCAGTGGAGAACAGTGTTTAAGAACATAAGCCCTTGCTGGGTCAGGCCAGTGACCTATCTAGTCCAGCATCCAGTTCTCTCAGTGTCCAACCAGATGCCTATGGGAAGCCAGCAAGCAGAACCTGTGTGCAACCCAACTGTCCATACTTGTGATTCCTATCAACTGGTATTCAGAGGCTTACACTGACAATGAAAGCAAAGCATATCCATCATGGCTAGTAGCCCCTGATAGCCCAATCCTCCATGAATTTAGCTAATCCTCTTTCAAAGCTGCTCAAGTCGCTAGCCATTACTTCCTCTTGTGGGAGCGAATTCCATGGTTTACTATGCGCTATGTGAAGAACTGCTTTATTTTGTCTTGGCAATTGTTTTACATATTTACTGAATACTATGTTCATTGTTCCCAGGTCAACAACACTTGCATCTCACAACAAGATACAAAGAATGCTCACAACAAGATACAAAGAATGCTCAGTTTTAGCTAGACATGGAATTTAAGGAGCCTGACAGTACAATACTGAAAAAATGGGTTTTGCTTGGTTCCAAAAGATTATTAAAGTGTAAGTAAGGAACTGCAAACTTTCACCAGGCAGAGAACCGTGGGCTATTTAAGCATCTCAAGAATATGCTTAGAAGGCTTAATTTCAAAATATTTTGAATGTTGTAGGAGTTGGAAACCTTATAGCCTAGGCAAAGGTAAAAGCTGGTACAGATAAGCACAAGATGTGCTGGCTGTTGCTTATCAGTGCCATTCTAACTTGTATCAGATAATAATTCATTTCAGGATAAAACGGTCTATGAGCAAAACTGATTTGTCGTGTTCTGTACTAAACATGATAGGCTGCCACCAATGTGTACCTTGGAGATGTGTGATCAGTTGTATTTAGATATTCAACTATGATAAGTTACATTCTTAGCAAGTGATTTCAATATCTGTAAATATGGGTTGATTGTATCATTGGCTAATCAGTTATATGTGTATGTATGCCTTTAAAAAATATGTTAACAAAAACTTGCAGAAGTGGTGGAGTCCCTAACATTTGGGCACTGGAGAGGTACTGCCGGGTGTCAAAGTGTTTTGGTTTTTTTTTTTAATATCAAGAGAGCAACAATGTGATATTCCCACCCTATGTCTGCAAGTCACACAATTTTCCTGTTTGTCAAGGCTCAGGGTCCTCCTTGCACCAAGAGACTGCTCAAAGTAATTTAAGCCATGGGTAGGCAACTAAGGCCCGGGGCCGGATCCGGCCCAATCGCCTTCTCAATCCGGCCAGCAGATGGTCTGGGAATCAGCATGTTTATGAGTAGAATGTGTCCTTTTATTTAAAATGCATCTCTGGGTTATTTGAGGGGTCTAGGAATTTGTTCATTTTTTTTTTCCAAATATAGTCTGCCCCCCCCACAAGGTCTGAGGGACAGTGGACTGGCCCCCTGTCTGGTTTTTAAGCACCGGTAATAATATACACTACTTACAATACAGATGAACTCCCAGTTTCATGCACCGTTGATGTTCTTTTTTAACATTTACTTTTATGTAAGAAAAGGATGTCCTTTGACTAGTTGTCATTTTGTGGCTTAGTTCTCCAAATGAGAATGGAAGCTTTCCTGATGATCTGGGCTGGTTTGTTGAAAGAATTCTTTAAGTAAAACAAATTCTTTTGGCTTTCTTTTGCAGGGAAAGTGTAAAAAGCTAGTGTGTATTGTGCTCTCTGACAACCTCAGTCTGAATAAGTGTGCTGTGGACTAGCAGGCTTCATTCAGCAACAGATGCTAAGAGTGCATTTGTGGTGCTTTTTATTTCAACTTGTGGAACACTTTTATTCAGCATTGAATGGAAGTAACACCCGTGTTTAATTTGAATAGTCATGAGAAATGCAGGTATTTAATCTGAATGAACCAGCAGGCAACCATTATCTTGGTTCTGTGAACAGGTGTGGTGTTAAGTATGTGCATTTGTGCATCTCTCTACCAGTCTGGGCTTGGTTTTGTAGATGTTGATTGATGTGTGCATTCTGTACATGGGTTAGATGTTTCCAACATACCTTGTTCTCTTTCAGGACTTTTATTTAATGACTGCACCCCCCAGATGCAGATAGGAAGGTCCGATTATGCTGCTCTTTATGTTGATTGCTGGCATTATAAGATTTATTTTTATTTTTTGCATGTAGCAATATCAAATATTTACCACCTGCCAAGTGTCAGCTCTTGGCACAGCGTGGCAAGGAAAGC